CTCTTACCCCTCCCCACGTGGGAGTCTGTGCTGTGAGATCCTTTCCCCTTCCCCAGGTGGGAGTCTGTGCTTGTTCGTCAGTAAATCCCCACCCTTGCTTTACCATCTTCCATCCGTGGATTCATTCTTCGACTCCGATGGACAAAGAATCCAGGGAACCATCCTGCCCAGGGGAACACCGCGTGTTCCAGTCCCAAAATCCCGTAGCGGAAGCATATCTGTCTTTTGTTTCTCTGAACTTGTAAAAGGTTCACCATTAGACTGCATGTGCTGAATTGGAACTTTTTGTTGTTTCTGAGTAAACCCATTATTGTTAAAGAAATATCTGGCTATCTATTTGTTAAAGGCCAACAAGTTAAATAAACTATGCAGCTTTTAGAATGTTAAAAAAAAAAAAAGAACCTAGAAAGTTTAGAAACAAATGTCCATCAATAGACTAGTTAAGTACATTGAGATATATCCATACTGGGGAATACTGGGGAATATTAAAAAATATGACATAGTTCTATACATGGAAATATTTCTACATTATCACTAGTTGTTGTTTTTAAAGTGTAGCCCTGGCCAGTGTGCTCAGTGGTTAGGGTGTCAACCCACCCACCAAAGTGTTGTGGGTTCAATTCCAAGTCAAGGGTATGTACCTGAGTTGCAGGTTTGATCCCCAGCCGCTGTTGGGGACTTGCAAGAGGTAACCAATCAATGTGTCTCTTTCACATCTCTCTCTCTCTCTATCTCTCTCTCTGTCTCTCTCTCTCTTTCTCTCTCTCTCTTTCTCTCTCTCTCTCTCTTCTCTCTCTCACCAATCCCTCCCTCCCTTCCACTCTATCTAAAAATCAATGGAAAAAATATCCTTGGGTGAAGATTAACAGAACAAAAACCATGTCTCAAAATAGTATGTACAGTGTGGCCCAATTCTTGCTTAAAAATGCATGTGCCTGTGTTTGCACAGTAAAGAAGTCTGGAAGGATATAAATCTAAATGGTAATAGCACTTGATCTTGAGTGGCAGGATTATAGATGCTGTTTTCTTTCTTTATACATTTCACCAAAAACGTTTTACTATTTGGCCTTTGGCTATAAACAGGCAATAGAGTAAGTGCCCCTTCTGATACAGGAGAGTAGGTATCGGGGAATGCAGCCGGGGAGATGTGGTCTTTGGACTGTAGACTTGTAACATGCAAAGTGCCTGGCATCTTTGTTTTATAAGTATGGGAAGGTAATAGTCAATAATAAACTGTCATACTAATGGAGTTCTTGTAATAACACTGAAAAACTATCTGTGGCTTTCTTTGGGAGATCTTTAGGTTTGTTTGTTTTTTATTGTGGTAAAATATACATAACAAAATTTACCATTTTATTTCTAAGTGTACAGTTTAGTAGCATTAAGTACATTCACACTGTGGTACAACCATCACCACCGTCTACAGAACTTTTCAGCATTCCATACTGAACCTCTGTTCTCATTAAACACAAACTCCCCAATCCCCTCCACCCCCACTACCTGGTAACCACTATTATACTTTCTGTCTCTATGGATTGGACTGTTCTAGGTACTTCATAGAAGTGGAATCATACAATGTTTGTCCTTTGTGATTGGATTATTTCCCTTAGCATAATGTCTTCATGGTTCATCCATGTTGTAGCAGGTATCAGTATTTCATTGTGGTTTTTTTTAGTCTTAACTAATATTTTGTATGGATATACCATATTTTGTTTATCCATTTGCCTATTGATGGCCATTTGGCTTGTTTCCACCCTTGTGGCTCTGTTTTTAAATGACTGTGCTTTTGGGATCTGGTTTGAACTCAGGTATTTCACACCTAGAAAGACTTTGTAGCACAGAGAATCCAGAGTGAGAATGAAGGAGAGGGAGACAGAGTAACAGTGCTGCTTCATGTGACTTGAAGGGGCAGCTTTCAAAGAAGAATGCAGAAAACCAGTAATTTTAAGGATCCTGATTTTTTTCTCCAAAAATTCTTTTTCTCCCTATCTTTCTCCTGGGTCAGTCACCTAATGAAAGTAGAGAAGCAGTAAAAACAACTGACAACTAACTTGGACTCTTTCTCTTCAAACTCTTCTCCTGATGAGATGTGTTTGTTTTGTTTTGTTTTTTACTGCTCAGTAAGCATGTAGTTCTGTCTCTTAATGTGACATTGCTTTTCTATGAGCTTAGCTATGATTTAGATGAGTTCTGTTGGATTATTTATACACATGGAATTCATGTATTCCTTCATTGAGAAACATATTTCTTCAACATCAACTATGAGCCAACTGTGCCAGCAGGAGGATCTAATGCCTTGTTGAAAATTAAACGTTCAGCCCAGCTGACATGGTTCAGTGGCTGAGCGTTAACCTATGAACCAGGAGATCATGATTCAATTCCCGGTCAGGACATGTGCCCGGGTTGTGGGCTCGAATTAAACTCCGTGGCATATTAAGACATTATTAGTATCTTAATAATATTAATATAAATACTAAGAAACTGACCTGGCTGTGGGGTAAGGGACTTGTGGCCCCTCACTGGGACAATCGTTTTTCATGCCAGTATGATAACAATCTCATAAAGCCAGAGTTTAGTAGCAAAAAAAAAAAAGTGTTTGTAGGGCTGTCTTTTGTCATGATTGATATTTTGTCAGTTGGTTTGAACTTGTTTACCGGGTTGACCTTCCTGTCAAGTTCCACCTTCAAAGAGAAGCAACTACCTGGCAAGTACAGATATCTTCCATGCAAGTGGTGGAACGGTTAGGACTGACCTCGCAGAAGACTGTGCCGCGTTACTGTAGTTCACGTTCCGCCGGCACTGTGGCCTGTCCCCTGATGCCCCGATTCAAGCGGGCCACAGCCTCGGCCCCACCAGATCTGTGGAGAGCTGGTCGCTGCTGCCTCTCAGCCGGAATGGTCCCCTGGTGCCAGGCTGCCCCTGCCCTGGAAAGGCGGCCTGGGCTGCCTCCTGCGCTCTGCTACCTCAGAAGGGTTTATTCTGTGTGTTCTCTCTTGCCCTTAGACCATCATCTGCAAATAGCATCAGCAGCACCACATCTTCAACCCACAGCGGCTGCGCCCCGGAAGCCCCTGCGCCCCCCGCTGCAGGTGACCTCGCCAGCCGACTGTCGAGTGATGAAGGGGAGATGGATGGTGCCGATGAATCCGAGAAGTTAGACTGTCAGTTCTCCACCCACCACCCTAGACCTCTTGCGGTAGGCCACCGGGCATCTCCCTCCGTGCATTTCCCTTGTGCTTCGTGGGCATGTAGGTGATGGTGTCAGGGGGCACGCATTCCTCAGGGGAGGGATTCGGGACAGTGTTTTATGGGAAAGCTTAACCTGAGATTGAATGATTGCCTTAGAAATACCCTTGAAAATCACAGAAAGAAGGGGTCCGCAGCAGATTATAACCCTTTAAACACCTGAGTGTTTGTGGCCCACCTTGAAGCATCCGTGCTTGAGGAGCGGTGTTTATGTGAGCGCACCGGGAGGCAGACGTTCTGGCTTTGCCCATCTAAGAACGGAGCCTCAAAAAAAGAACGGAGCCTCTGGTTTCAGGAGTCAGTCTAGCTCACCTGCGTCGAGAACCGTCTGTCGTAGCAGCGCCAGGTGCCAGCCCTAGCTGGTTGTCTCCCCTGTTGGTTCTGAGTTTTATTGTTATTAGTAAGTGTGTCCATATGGCACTGGTACTGAGTGTGTGTGTGTGTGTGTGTGTGTGTAAGGAAAGGGGGAGGCATTTCATGTCGGTGTGATTGCTGATGAACAGAAAGGTCCGTTTCTTCCCAATCCTTGAAGGAGTCCACTTTAACAACTCGAATCATCGAAATCGAGGTGGGGAGCATAAGGAGGCAGGAGCTGGAGGCTTGTCTGCGTTTGCCGTGCGAGCACCTGAGAAGGAGATGCCTGGTGCTGCCTTCCCTGAGCTGAATGCAAGGGGCCTGGAACACGGGGCCCATGGCCGGTCTCCTCTGGGGCCAGCTGGATTCCTGTAGCAATGGTGTTGACTCTTCCTAGAGCTCAGGGCTGTGTAGGTGAAATCAGCCTGCATCGAGATAGAGCGACTCCTTCTTGCCTCCTGTCGGTGAGAGGAGTGACGGCCAGGTTCACTTCCTGCTGCTGGGAGTGATGGTGGCCTGGACCCGCAGTCTGAGACCTTTGCCTCTTAGCTATCTCAGAAATAGTGAGGGACAGTCAGGA